GAACAGTGAGGTCGTTATAATTTACCCAGATATATTAGATATATTATCAGTCTTCAAAAAAATGGTGCCTGATGACGGTTGCGATTGCCAATGCGCATCACCTCCATTGCCTTGGACGCTCGGATGGAGGCTGCTTTCCATGGATTTCCCATAGGTTTCCATAAATGGGGGATCCCCAAAATGGATGGTTTATTTCAGGGAAAAACCTATTAAAATAGATGATTTGGGGGTACCCCCATTTCAGCAAACCTCCAATATGGGATTGTGACAATCCCCAACATCTTGGATAGATTTTTACCTCAGATCATAGTCAACCAAGAGGGGCTTCGGTTTTGAGCACTGCTCGCTTGGGGATTAGCACATCAATCCCAGCTTGGAACATTGAGATGCTGTAAGAGTCGGGTCATGACTCCTGGTTTACAACCTTGGCCTACTTATAAAACAACTTAGCTAAGTAGGCTAAGTAGGGCTTTAGTTGGTGCACCCATTGGGACCCATTGAATCGTGGGTAGTCCTGCAACTCGGTCTGCGCCACTTTCTGAAAATCCAACCAGCCAAAACTGCGGCCGCGATAAAGAACACGTCTGATATTAACAGATCTGCAGTTGCACTTTCTAATCTTTCTTCGGTGGAAGGGACCCATGACTTTTTGTTTGAAAATCCTAACCTCAATAACCATCAAAAACCATTCAAAAAAATGCGTATCAACATCTATTAACCATGATTTTCCCATTCTAGAACCATCTATAGTTAACCATCAATATCTATTTTCCCATCTATTCACTATATAAATTTTCCATCTACTAACCATCTCCCAGCCATCAGATCATCATCAGCCCAGCCATGCCTCGTGCACGGAAGTCACGGGCGTTTCGGTCACCGTGGGCAGATAGAGCACCTCGCCCTGCTCACCTGTTTTCCAAAAAACGCAAAAAAAGGATCCAGGAGAAGTTCAGGTGCCATGTTTTTTTTGAATATATAGATATTATATATATATATATATATACGTATGTGCATATTATATGTGTACATATATATATGCAATAGATTATGTAATATGTATGTATGTATATATATATATATGTAATGTGATGTAATGTGTATATATAATATAGTTAGCCTGTTGCTCCCCCGTCTTTCTCATCTAACCGCCCACATTATTATACAAGCAAATTCTATGGGGTTAATACCAAAGACAGGGGAGCAACACCTTATAGAAAACAATAACATAAATCATAACAACAAAACAACAAAACAAAAAACTCAAACAACCTAAACAATACAATAGATTATAAAAAAAGACTATACCATAAATCATAACAAAAAACAATTTCACTTTTATAATTTTGAAATTATAAAATGAAATTTATGTTTGCTGTTTCTTCAAGTTCTCCAGATGCTTTGTTGTTTGTGCGTGTCTCTTGTAATTCTTACATTGAATTTCATAATCATCACATACAGGGCAGGTCATCCATTCTATTTTAGCATTGACTTGTTCAATGTTTTCTGCTCTATGATTTCTTCTTCTTTCATTTATTTCTTCCCTGTGTGTCCTACCATAATTTCTAGCATATTCCTTTGCCTCCTCTATATGATTGTAATAATAGTCTCTCCTCCTTTCATTATATTTTTCTTTGTTCTTTTGATGATTAGCCCTCATAGATTCCCTACATTTATCACAAGTTTTGTATTTACCCTCTTCCATTTCCTTAAAACATTTAGCACACTTGACTTTAGTATCCTCCATTACCTACTATAGATAGGTAATAACTCTTTAAGTGTCTTTCCTATCCCGTTTCCCTAGATTATAACATAATCAACAACAAAATCATAACAAACACATAAAACAAAGAAAAAACAAAACAACCTAAACGATACAATAGACCATAAAACAAACCTTACCATAAACCATAACAACAAACCATACACTTAACCTCATTCAAAAGCCTATTGTAAAGCCTATACCTAAGGAATGGACTTTGAGATAAATTATGAACTAATTTATATATGAAACCAGACCTATCTTATCCCACCCCCCAGCATACATACCAGCATACATACAAACTAGAATATCACAACAGCATCACATCTTTCTCAATCTCAAATCTCTTTCATTACCGCAATTACCATGCCCAAACCGCCCTTCATGAACTTGTTGATGACCATGTCTTCTTAACCTCAGCGCGATGTAAATGGCACGGCAAACCAAACTTTTGGAGCGAAATGGAGTGGTAAGGATTGTGTGCGTCCATACTTGTTGGTGCCAGTCTTCTCAAATTTTTGGAAGGGTTTGTCTTTGTATCAGGCATGCATGCACTGACTGTTAAGCTTGTGAAGGCTCACTGGCATGAATGTTTTATTGAAGCAATGCCTACCTATATACTGTGCATGCAGACCTTTTCAATCGCAAAGGACCTGCTCAGAGCACTGTTTTGCAAGTCGCCCTGTTGGCGAAGCAAGCGTTCTCACGCACTGTCTTTGTCGCCAAAATCGGCGAGCAACTGGCGTGATGAAAGCAAAACTGTCTCACTACGTCCCGTTATCTATTGTTGTTGTTGCAACACTTCCTGCGGCAGCGCATCGTAGCGAGGCAAAGGCATTCACCGTTGTACCAACAAGAAATCGGCTTGACTGCCTTGGCCTGATATGCCGTCAAGTTTCCCGAGCTCATGTTTTGCGAGGCATCCACAGTGCCTGTGCTGTTGGTGTCTGCAGCTCCAGCGCTCAATGTGAGGATGATGAGGCAAGCAAAAAACCAGATTGGCACCATGGAAATTGCCAACACCGAGCTAAATAGCGTACCCGAGTGGTTTGAGCAAAAGATGCGGAAAAAAAGGACACAAAATTCCAAGCTCAAACTGAAAGAGCTAATTTCTGTAGCTTTCCAATTGAGAATGTCAAAACTGCTCAAAATGAAACAACTTCCAAGGTCAAGCTCTCCAAGAACATGTGGCTTCAAACATCGGACTGGCATATTCCCAACAGCTGAGCGCCCCGACAACAGGATGCAGAAGAGATTGATGACAAAGCCAAGGCGAGGAAGGGCAAAGGAACATGGAGCAATCCCAGCCAATGACCCAGTCAAACACAATTCGTGGGGAGAAACAAATGAAGGGCAAAACACAAAAACCCCGAAACCAAAACAGCACATCAAATCAACCATCTCATGGTTGCATCATGGCTTTCTAAAAACACTAAATCTTTAAAAGTTCGTGCCTCATCAACAATCTTGGGTAATCAGTTAATTTGTAATATTGTTGGTTCAACTTTTCTGCAATCTCTTGCACAACATAATAACCATTCAGCCAGTGGGAAGTTCTTTCTCTCTCTGCAATTGCTTTCTTTCTCATTATCTTTACTTTGTCTCCCACCTCTAATGTTGGGTATATTATTTCTTTCTTTGCCTTTGATGCTACATTAATCATTGCCCTAAATTCATTTTTCTCTTTCCTTGCTTGAGTAGGTGTCATACCTGTAGCGGAGTGTTTCATCTTATCATTGTATGTCAGCACAATTTCTAAATTGTAATCAACCCATTGTATGTTTGCCTTTCCCTTTTTTTCATCAGCCTCCACTCTTTTAAAAAGCATATCTTTGTATGTGCGTATAAATCTTTCAGCAAATGCTGGGTGTCCTCTAGTCCTATGTAAGGTTATACCTTCACCTTCCACATAATCCTTAAAGTCTTCACCTGCTATTGCTCTCTCATCATCTGTATATATCATTTTAGGCTTCTTACCCATTTTCCCTAATGCCTCTTTAGTTGCTTCAAGGACATCCTCACCATTTTTAGTTTTAATTGGAACTACAACGGCATACTTGCTCAAAACATCAATACGCACCAACCCTCCTCTAAACTTTTGTTCTTCATCAAAATCATAATACCCCATAAAGAACAAATCTATCTGATAAGTGTAATGATTATGTGGTGCTACAAAGGAATTCATCCCTCTGGGCTTTGCTTTTATCTCAACATTTTTTCTAAAGAATTGTTCAACATCCTCTTTCTTGATTGTAGGTTCTTTCTTTTTAGCATCTTCTAATGTGGTCTTTCTTGAACCATAGCCCGCTTTATCAAAATAAATATCACTAATAATCTTCTGTTTATCACTCGTTATAGAATAGATGATATAATAAGTATATATTATATCATTTATTCTTGCTCTTGTTGCTTCAGCCAGTCTTGATGTTTTTTTGTCTTGTTATGTCTTGATGTTGAGCAATTCTGAACTGGTTTTCCACACCCACATATAAAATACTGTTGTCGCATATCTTTTGTCTTTTCATAATACTGTTTTTTCCTCTCCTTTATTTTCTCTGGAATGGCAAGTCTATATTGTTTCTGCTTCAATATCGCTTCTTCCTTGTTCTCATAGTAGTATTCCAGTTGCCTTTCATTTTTTCTTTCTCTTGTTTGTTCTTTGTATTCTTCTTTGGTTCGTCCTGCTATATGTTTATTTACACAGTCATTGCTTTGGATGTAAAACC